GCCAACTATGACTTCGTCCTAAGGAAGCGGACCTTCAGCAAGGGGGTGAAGGTCAAGCATGGAGCCAGTTCCACCCTCCCGCGTGTGAAGCAGAAGGGACTCAAGATTGCCAAGGGCATCTTCTAAGGACATCTCCCTGGGTCGGACTGGCCAGGGCTAAGTACTTCCAGACTCGAGTGGCCCAGGCCACGCAGGTACTTTCCTTGCCACCTGCCAGCCCAGGCCACCCCCAGACTCCAGTTTCAACTCAAACCTCTCCTGCCGGGATTGACACCTGCCATGTGGCGGGCTGACCTGGCCTCGGGGACCACCTGCTGCCTTAGGTGCCTTCTGCTCTCTGGAGCCAGAGGACCAGCTGACCTTTGCCAAGGAGCGCTGCCAAGGGCACGGTACCCTGCCTGCCCCCAGGCTCTGCCCTCCGTGTTCTGCCTGACGCCTTCCCAGGTGCGATCACTGCCACCCGTACCCTCGGGCACCTCTCACCCAGCAGGGCTGACCACTGCAGTTCTCTCCTGCTCACGGGCCCTGGCCTGTGCACTTCATGGGGGTCCCTGCCCCTCCTCCTGCCGCTCTAGCCTTTCTCAGGCTGCACCAAAGATTCCACCTTCAGAGCCAGCCCAGAGTGCCGGAGTGTTCCCCACCACAAAACCCAGCTCGGCCCTGGAGCCGAGAGCCAAGGCCGCTCATAGACCTCACTCCTCACCCCGCCAGTACGGACAGTCCCGTTGGTGACCAATCACATGCCACTGGAATGCCATCTGCCACTGCATCCTGGGCTGTATGATACCACTCGAGTCAGGGGTTTGAGGTTAGCGGGGAGTTTGGGGGAGGGGAAGGATGTCTGGACATTTGTATAAAAAGAAAAAATGTTTACGGATTGGGGTGGGGCAATATTTATTTGTTGTAAATAGAAAATGTTAGACTTGAATATTATATTAAAATCTTGTTTCTACTATAGCCTGGTCATTGTGGCTTTCTTGTTTCATTCCAGTATATTAGTGATGAGACAGAGAATCACATGTCAGGTTCTAATAAAAACTGTTACAAGCTGGGCACGAGTTAACCACCAGAAAACTGGGAGTGGTGCTGTGGCTCAAAGTAGTAAAGTGCTAGCCTTGAGCAGAAGAGCTCTGGACAGTGCCCAGGCCCTGAGTTCAATACCATGCCTGACAAAAAAAAATAGAAAATAAAAACTATTGCAAGATGCAATCTGAGGACTGTGGTTTGAAGCCAGCCCAGGCAGGAAAGTCATTAGGAAATTTTTTTTTTTTTTGGTCCAGTCGTGGGGCCTGAACTCTGGGCCTAGGTGCTGTCCCTCAGCTCTTCAGCTCAAGGCTAGTGCTCTACCACTTGAGCCACAGCGCCACTTCCGGCTTTTATCTTTTTGCTTATATGGTGCTGAGGAATCGAACCCAGGGCCTCAGGCATGCAAGGCAAGCGCTCTACCACTGAGCCACCTTCCCAGCCCTCATTAGGAAATTTTATCTCCAATCAAGCACCAAGAAGCCAGAAATGGGGGTGCTGCTTAAGTAGTAGAGTGCCAGCCTTTAGTGAAAAGCCTCAGGAACAGTGCCCAAGTTCTGAGTTCAAGTCTTAGTACTGACACAAGAAAAAGAATCATGTTAGCCAGGCACCAGTGACTCACACCTGTAATCCTAGCTACTCAGGAGGCTGAATCTGAGGATTGCAGTTTGAAGCCAGCCCAAGAAGGAAAGTCCAAGAGATTCTTAATCTCCAGTTAGTCACAGAAAAAGCTAGAAGTGGTGCTGTGGTTCAAGTGGTAGAGAGCAAAATGAGCCCAGGTATATAGCTCCAAGGCCCAGAGTTCAAGCCTCAGGACTGGCAAAAAAAAAAAAAATCGAGAGCACAATATTTTATAAAGATTAAAAATCTGTGCCAATGACATCACAAAGGAAATGAACGGAAGAGTGTTAAGAGCAACTAAGATGGAATTACTCAAACTAGCTTGTTATAAATGTGAAGTATTCGTTGAAATCTCAAAGATAGATACTAAGAAAATAACTAGAAGCTATCCAAAAAAGGAAAAGAAAATAGAATAAAATGATGCACTAGAAAAACTCAACAAGAGCCAGGGTGCTGGTGGCTTACACTTGTAATCCTAGCTACTCAGGAGGCTGAGATGTCAGGATCATGGTTCAAAGCCAGCCTGGGCAGGAAAAGCCATGAATCTCTTCAATAAACCACCAGAAAACCGGAAGTGGTGCTGTGGGTCAAGTGGTAGAGCACTCGCCTTGAGCTAGAGAGCTGAGGGACAGCGCTCAGGCCCAGAGTTCATGCCCCATGACCAACAAAAAGAAAAACTCATCTAGAGGCATGGGATGCGTTTCAGTGATAAGAGCACTTGCCTAAATGCATGGGAACCTGGGGTTGCACTGAAAAAACTAAATCCACAAAGAGTGATGGAAGAAGTGAGGAACAGAAACGTGACAGACCTACAAAAAACAGAGCCAAGTGGCAGAAGTAAGGCCTCTCTCCGTAACTTATAAATGGGTTAGGCTGTTCAATTAAAAGGCCAAGTCTGGCTAGGAAGGTGGCTCAGTGGTAGTGCTTGTCTAGTCCTGCATGGAGCCCTGAGTTTAATTCCTCAGTATCACATAAACAGAAAAAGCTGGAAGTGGTGCTGTGGCTCAAGTGATAGAATGCCACCCATGAGCAAAAGAAGCTTAGAGGGCCAGGCACCAGTGGCTCACACTTGTAATCCTAGCTACTCAGGAGGTTGAAATCTGAGGATGACAGTTCAAAGCCAGCCCGGGCAGGAAAGTCTGTGAGACACTCATCTCCAAATAACCACCAAAAAATTGGAAGTGGTGCTGTGGCTCTATTGGTAGAGTGCTAGCCTTGAGTTGAAGAGTTGAGGGACAGTGCCCAAGCCCAGAGTTCAAGCCCCAGGACTGACCAAAAGAAAAAAAGGCCAAGGCTGGCAAAACAGATCTTTAAAAACATGAACTACTTATGCTATATTCAAGGAGATTTGGTTTGAGTGCAAAGATACAAAAAGATGGAAAAAAAGAAGCTAGTCAAGAAAAACTATGCTTGGATAATGACTACATTATCAGGCAGATAGATTTTATATCAGAAAGGTAGCAAGAGACATGGAAGTCAGTGTATCTTGGTAAAAAGCTCATAAAAATACATCAACTGTAAATTATCATGTCCAGATATATAAACACCCTCAAAATATATGAAGTGCCAGGTGCTGGTGGCTCATGCCTGTAATCCTAGCTACTCAGGAGGCTGAGATCTGAGGATTACAGTTTAAAGCCAGCCTGGGCAGGAAAGTCTATGAGACTCTTTATCACCAATTAACCACAAAAAGTTGGAAGTGGAGCTGTGGCTCAAGTGGTAGAGCTCTAGCCTTGAGCACAAAAATAGCTCAGGGACAACGGCCAGGCCCTGAGTTCAAGCCCCAGTACTGGCAAAAACTTAAAAAAAAAAAAAAAAAAACATGATGGAGAGAGTTGGAGACTTTTCCAATAGTGGCTAGAAGAACCAGGCAGAAGACCAGATGACTTGAACACACTGCAAACCATTCAGACCAGGCAGGCGTGTTCAGAACACACAAGTCAGCCACAGCTCAGTGCATGTGCCTCTCACATGCTCACAGAACATTCTCCATGGCTGCCCACATGGGAAGCCACAAATGAGCCCAATGTATTCTAAAAGACTGACATAGTGCAGAATATTCTTCCAACAACTGTGGAATGAAACCAGACATCCACAGCAGAAGCTAGAATACTTTAAATACTCTTTTTTAAAAAAATATTCTTTTTCTCCAATTAATCACCAAAAAGCCAAAAGTGGAGTGTGACTCAAGTGGCAGAGTGCCTGCCATGAGATTTTGAAAAAGCCAAGGGACAGCAGACAGGCCCGGAGCTCAAGCCCCAGGACTGGCACACACACAGAAAAAAAAATTACAAGAAGTTTTCCTGACTGAAGGCTGCCTTTCCACGGTCTGGAGGATGAGAAATACTGGATTCCAGGTGTGTTGGATTACAGATTAGAAATGTATAGATTTCAAATTCATACTGTGGAATGTAGCACTGAGAGAGAGACAGCAAACAGATCAAACCTGTTGCAGAAGCCGGGCGCCGGCAGCTCCCGCCTGTCATCCTAGCTACTCGGGAGGCTGAGAGCTGAGGATCACAGTTCAAAGCAGCCCGGGCAGGAAAGTCCAGAGACTTTATCTCCAATAAACCACTAGAAAATCGGAAGTGGTGCTGTGGCTCAAGCGGTAGAGCACTAGCCTTGAGCTGAAGAGCACAGGAACAGCGCCCAGGCCCAGAGTTCAAGCCCCGTGACGGACCAAAAAAAAAAAAACCCTGTGGGAGAAGAGAATTGCCTGTGGACAGAGAGAACCTGGCCTTCCTCATCTTCTCTGTGGACCTGGGCCAAGGCTTTCCCTAAGATGAAATCCTTGCCTGAGACCCCAAAACTCCTTCTCCCCCCTGGTTTTGTGCTAAGGAAGACGTGTTGCATGCATAATGCAGTGGCCCTCCCACTTTTTTTTTTTTAATTTTGGGTCCGGTTGTGGGGTCTGAACTCTGGGCCTGGGCGCTGTCCCTCAGCTCTTCAGCTCAAGGCTAGCGCTCTACCACTTGAGCCACAGTGCCACTTCCGGCTTTTTTCTTTTTGCTTATGTGGTGCTGAGGAATTGAACCCAGGGCCTCAGGCATGCAAGGCAAGCGTTCTACCACTGAGCCACCTTCCCAGCCCCGGCCCTCCCACTTCTGAGCCAAGTTCCAGCCTTCCACCACTGACATCATGGCCTCACCCTGCTGGGCCCCCAAGGATATTGGGTAAGTGCTCATCACACACACACCTTCTCTGATTCTATCTGCTCCTCAGAGCCTGGGGACTGACCAAGATGATGGGCTGGCGGAGGGGCTTGGGGGGGCGGGGAAGGGGGAATGTTTGTGACTATAAGGACTGGGGGCCCCTCCTTCCTCCAGCCTGGATCTCAGGAGCAAAGACGCTGGATGGAGATGGAGAGAACTGAGGTTTTATTCCAGAGGCGGGGCTGGGTCCCACCCTCATGGCCTCTTGGGGCCAAGACTCTTGAGACACTAAAAGCCAATGACAACAGGCATTGGAGCTCCTTCAGGGTTGTCTGCTGGGGGCTCGGGGGCAGTCTGGGAGTCATCCACCGGGGGCACCGGGGCGGCCTGGGAGTCATCCACGGGGGGCTCGGGGGCAGTCTGGGAGTCATCCACGGGGGGCATGGTGGGCAGCTCCTGGTAAGTCGTATTCCAGTACTGCACGTACTTGGTCCTCAGGTGCTCCTTCATGGACTGACTGTTCATCTTCTTGGTGATCTCCAAGTAGTTACCGTTCTCCATGGTGTAGGGGTACCAGTGTGTGGGCACAGGCGAGTGGCCCATGTTGGGGTCCCTGAAGAGGAGGAAGAAGCCAGGTAGGATCTGAGGACTGCTGGGCGGTCGGGGGCCTGGGCTCCTAGCCAGTTCAGGCTCAGGCCTGAATGCCTGGCTTGCCCCACTCCCTTGAGCTGCCCCAACCCTGCTGAGCAGAGCATGCGCGTGTGGCTCCGGCCAGCAGCTCTTAAAGCCTCATGTACAAATGGGCATGGTGGCTCAGGTTGGTTAAGTGACTTGCCAAAAATTCTCTCAGCAAGTTAGGACACAGGGCTGAACTCCAGGCCGACAGGGCCGTGGCTGGAGGTGGGCCCCCAGTCTGCTGTCCTCTGCCCTGAGTTCGACCCCCACCTTACCCACTTTTGGCAAAGTTGGTCCAGTAAGCAATCATGGCCTTGGAGATGGTCCTGTCTTGGGTGCGGTAGCCCAGGGGCGTGGCGAAGGGCTTGCCAAACACATACTGCAGGTCGTCCGCGTGGTCCGCCCCCATCCATTTGGGGTAGATGGGCATCCGAGAGGGGGTGGAGAACAGGTAGGAGTAGGTCCGGCCACTCCTGAAGGGGGAGAGCCTAGGTTGGCAGGATGTGTGCATGGGGCCCCCCAGCCCAAGGATGAGCCCTGAACGGGGCGGGGGCCAGTGGGCTTAGAGAATTCCCCCAAGACTTACAAGGAAAATGGGGCTCTTTTTTATTTTTTTTTTTGGCCAGTCCTAGGGCTTGAATTCAGGGCCTGGGCTTTTTTTGCTCAAGGCTAACACTCTAGCACTTGAGCCATGGCACCACTTCTGGCTTTTTCTATGTATGGGGTACTGAGGAATGGAACCCGGGCCTTCATGCAGGCTAGACAAGCACTCTACCACTAAGCCACCTTCCCAGCCCAAAAATGGGGTTCTTATTCCCAGGGAAGGGACCGACAGTTGCAGACTGAATTCATGGCCTGTACCTATTTCATGGGGTTTGTACCCCACCTCTACAAAAACATACAGAGGTAGCTTCTTCCTAAATCAAAGATTTCCTTTTCCTCTCTGTGGGAATTTGTATTTTTCATTTGATGGAACAAGATTTATGACAGTTTTTCTTGTCTTTTTTTTTTTTTATGTACCAGTACTGGGATTTGAACCTTGCAACTCTTCCTTGGCTTTTTCACTCAGGCTGGAGCTCTGCCATTTGAGCCATTCCTCCACTTCCAGCATTTTGCTGGTTAATAAGCAATAAGAGTCACAATCGTGTCTGCCCGGGCTGGCTTGGAACCACAATCCTCAGCGTTCAGCCTCCTGAGTTAGCTAGGATTCCAGACGTGAGCCAGTTTCCCTTGCCTTGAAAATGGGAAGCTCAGAGTTCAACTGACTGCTCAGTTAACCAAGAGACCTCCCAGGGAGCCCCTGGCTTCCCAGACCCTCACTTGGCATTCATTTTGTGCTGCGCCAGGGCTATCTCCGTGGGAACCAGAAAGAGGACGTCCGTCTCCAAGTCCACCACAGTCTTCTTCTTGGTCTCCTGGGATGGGTCCTGAGCCCAGGGCTCGGTGTAGATGTCGAAGGTGGCACTAGCACCTCTGAGCCCCTTGGTGATGGTGAGGCCGCTGACCATCCTGTAGAAATCCTCCCTGCAGGGTACCATCAAGCATGAGGCCCAGCTTCACAGCCAACGGGAGGGCGCTGCGCCCCACCCCAGCATGGGCCCTCCTCACTCCCCTTCTCTCTCCTCAGGCCTCCTGCCTCCAAGCCAAGGCTTCTGAGGCCAATCCCTGGCTAGTTGTCCACACATCCCAGTCCCAGGCCTCTGCTTACTCCGTGATGTCCTTGTTGGACTTGTCGATGGCTGGCATGTCAACAGTGGCAAAGAGATGTCCATCCATGTTGTTGGTGCCCGCTAAGTAGTCGATGTCGGCAGCATTGGCGTACAGGTTGATGGGGTTATCAGGGATGAAGTCTCCATCGACCACAGGGACAAAGCCCAGGTAATGCACTATGGGGTCTGTGTATGAGACATCATAGTTCCTTCTAGTGTCCACCTGGCCCTGCCCCATGGCCTCTTGGAGCTAGCCTTGACCTCACTCTCTGATCTGGGCCAGGGTTCCCAGCCCCAGCACCAGGCACCTTGTGGACCGGGTACCCAGTGTTGGGGTAGAGGCCCATCCAGGTGCGTAGAGGACGGTGAACAGCATCCCTGGCCTGGACCCCCTAGGTGCCAGTGGCACTTTTCTCCATTTGTGACCATCAACAGTGTCCTCTGACAGTGCCACAGGGCCCACGAGCCCAGCTGTGTGGGCTAGGTCTGTCCTCTTGCTTTAACATTGCTCCCTTGCTGTCTTCCCTCTCCTCCCATTGGGCCTACCCCGGGAGCTAGAAACATCTGGAAGCAGCTGAAGGGGACTGGTGGAGGAAGCCAGACCCTCTCCTGGGTCTGTTAGCCTAAAATTATGCAAGGTGTGTGTGTGCCTTCTAGAGCCCCTGACTGCCCCTAGAAGACCAGACCGCTGGCGGGGCAGGTGAAGGGTCTGGCTGTCTTTAGGCTCAGCACTGGCTATTTTCCTGCAATTGAGCTCTAGACAAAATAGTTGATGTAAGCCGGGCACTGGTGCCTCACACCTGTAATCTTAGCTACTCAGGAGGCTGAGATCTTAGGGTCGCGGCTCAAAGCCAGCCGGGGCAGGAAAGTCCATGAAATTCTTTCTTTTGTGGGGGTTGGGGGGGTCCGGTTGTGGGCCTGAACTCTGGGCCTGGGTGCTTTCTCTCAGCTCTTCAGCTCAAGGCTATCACTCTACCACTTGAGCCACAGCGCCATTTCGGCTTTTTTTTCTTCTTCTGCTTATGTGGTACTGAGGAATTGAACCCAGGGCCTCATGCATGTAAGGCAAGCACTCTACCACTGAGCCACCTTCCCAGCCCTCTGTGAAACTCTTATCTCCAGTAAACCACCAGAAACCAGAAAAGGCAGTGTGGCTCAAGTAGTAGAGTGCTAGCCTTGAGTGAAAAAGCTAAGGCCCTGAGTTCAACCCCCAGGACTGATACTGTATACACTCTCTCTCTCTCTCTCTCTCTCTGCATGAACTAGCAGGAAGGATTTGCTGATGGGGTCCCCAGCTAGGATTGCCAAACACTACAGTATACAGCCAGCAAATGTTGGCCAAATGGATGAGGGAGGGAAGGCTGAGTGGCCATCTGGCCCTAAGGCCCTCGGGTCCACAAATCCCCATGAAACTGTATTCACTTCACTGCAGGTGCGTGCACTGCCGGGCGTGTGGGACACACGTTCACCAGCTTCTCACTAGAGAATAGGAAGAAAGAAGGGCGCCTTCTCCTTCCAGCGGAGACCTGCCAGCCCACGGTGGCAGCCAGCCAAGCACATCGGTGAGTTAGGGACAAGGCCAGGTCTCATGCCTGGCACCTTCCTCTCTTCTCTGGGCCCTGCTTGGCAATGGAGTCGTCCCCCCTCCCCCCCCACTAGCCCTGAACACACACTCACACTCCAGGCCAGCCAGCGGCAACTTGTAGGCCATCGTCAGGGCGCGAGGGTCAGTGACCTTCAGACACCTGGCCAGCCTGTCGGTGTCCTCTGTGGGGCATCCCACCTTCTTCGCAATCTGGGGGTGGGTGGGGGGAGGGTGTAAGTAGACAGCCGTTGAGGCTGGTAATCAGGCAAGGCCAGAAGCCAGGACAGAGATGGGAAACAAGAAGGTCTCCACCCGACCGCGAGCCGGGCCTCCACTCACCTTTTCTTTTTTCTTTTTGCCAGTCCTGGGGCTTGAACTCAGGGCTTGGGCACTGTCCCTGAGCTTCTTTTGCTCAGGGCCAGTGCTCTACCACATGAGCCACAGTGCCACTTCTGGCTTTATTTTGTGTATGTGGTACTGAGGAATCGAACCCAGGACTTCATGCACGCTAGGCGAGTGCTCTACTGCTAAGCCAGCCCTCCACTCACCTTTTCTGCCCAGAAGAGCGGGTTGTGTTGGATGGCCCAGGGGCTCAGCGCCACACCACTCTGGCTGATGGCTCTCCGGATGAGGCCCTTGTTGTAGGGGGAGAGGGTCTGCAGCACCCACAAGTCCTGTCATCAGGCTGACACCCCAACCTGTCCCCTCCAGTCCCCACTCTCCTCCCCCTAGTCTGTCCAGCCTCATTGCTGTCTCCTGCCCAAACCTCGGGAGTAGCCCTCCCCTCCCAGGGTGCCCGAGACCTGCAGAGAGACGCTGGCGCCTCCGGCAGATTCCCCAAAGATGGTGATGTTATCGGGATCCCCTCCAAAGGCTGCGATGTTCCGCTTCACCCAGGCAATAGCCATGTGCTGGTCGCGAAGGCCATAGTTACCTGCGGGCAAGAGATGGCAGTGAGCCTTCATCTGGATCCCCAGGCCGGGGCTGGAGGATGGGTGAGGTGAGCGGCCCAGAGCGGCACACAAGGTGCCATTGGTGTGAATGAGAGAAAAGTGCCCTGGGCCACACTGAGACTCCGCGAGAATTCACCATGGCCCTGGGCCACACTGAGACTCCGCGAGAATTCACCATGGCCCTGGGCCACACTGA